GCACATACCCTGTAAGGAATAGAGGCCTGGACACATGGCCGCAGTCATTCCAGATGCTTCTGCAACTCCAGCTGAGGCACCACACAAATCATCTACCTGAGCCTTGACCAAATTCCTCACATATGAAACCATGAAATATAACGGCTTTTATAAACAACAAATGGGAAAAGTGGAGGATGTCCCTCCACTTTTGGATGTCCCTATGACAGATACAGATGCAACAGAGGTATCAAGTTGATATGGTATCTGGGTATATGATTGTAAAGTTCAGTGAAGAGGCACAGAGTGAAGATATAAATTTGGGAGACATCTCCTTGTTCTGTTCTTTTTACTTTTCCTTTTTTCATAGTACTTTTAATCTCTGACATTTTCTAGACAATTTATTATGTCTAAGGACTACTGTCTGTCTTCCCTCGATACAATGTAAACTCCACACAGACAAGGATTTTTGTTTTATTCAGCATATCCCCTGCATGCAAAACAGTGACTGGCATACTGAACAGTGTCATGAGACACTCAAATATTTGTTGAGTAAATGAACCAAGCTAGACATGTTATTTAAGGCCATTTTACTAATGAAACTACTTTGAGAGTGAGTATATTAAAGACAGGTTTGAGAATGGGCATTTCAACACTTAGAAGTTAAAAAGATTAGAAAAACCAGCAAAGGAGATCGAGAGGATACAGCCACTAAGAAAGGAGGAGAGATAAGAGATGATACTCTAGAAGCAAAGTAGACAGTTTCAAGAAGGGGAAGTGACCATGTACGTCACCGATGCTGGTGGGTAGGGTAACACCAGTACTGAGCATCAACTACTTGATTAGTCCCTGTAGAAAGTTCTCCGAAAGCTTAAAATAATGTTTTAGAAGAAACAGATTTTTTAAAAAATGAATTTTGCTGTCAACTGGAGAAAAGAAATGGTTAAAAGGGGATATGATGCCACAGTTTGTTGTTGACATATTATACAATGATTTGTATGCTAAAAAGGAATAATCTTATGGAGAGGGAAAACTCTAATAACACTTAGAGAGTAGAGGCAACTGAGTAGGTAAAAAGGGGTGAAGTGAAGTTCATAAATGAGTGGATTAGCCCTAGATAAGCATAACAAAATAATTTATCTACACTTAGCAAGAGGAAAGGTATAGTACATGGGTATGGATTGCAGGTAGAGTGGTAGAAATTCCCTTCTGTTTGCTTCTATTTTCTCAGTAAAACAGCACAAGATCATCCGCTAAGAAGGAAGACAGGAGAGATGTAAAACAGTCCTTTTAGCACTGTGCTTGAAAACACTTGGCGCATATCTCACTCCAACTTATATTGTGCTGTCATTATTGATGAGCTGTCTCTCCACTAAACCTTAACATTACTTAAGGTAGGGAAAGTAGTTTTCAGTTTTGCACTATTAGCACACAACGAAATGCCCTGCCAACAACTGTTTGTTAACTCACCGACACAGAATAAATGAATGTTATAGAATCCTCGAAGGTACTACAGCAAAGCCCAAAGTTTGAAAACAGCAATAAAGAACATACTATCAAGGACCTATTTGATACACATTTAAATTGCAAATACCAAGTAACTGAACCCATTAAACTTCAATTATCATGAAATTTAAAAACTATAGATAGAACAAAACCATTTCTTTTTTAACATAATGAAATAAGATGTTAATATTAAAAATTACTACAATTGTAAGTTAATCTAGAACACACACTGCACTCATCCCAGGTATTCAACATTTCATTATCAAATGTCAAGGATTGGCTCTAAAAAACCAACATCTTCCAAAAATAGTACTACAAAAATATCTTCCACACTAAAAACAGCAGTAGAACCTTTACACCACAGCTGTATTTTATAGGGACACCATGTGTAAGAACAAGAAAAACTGAAGAAACTTAGATCAAGTGGGGTAAACACAATGTGCTTCTGACATTTAGCATCCTCTTATCATATAAGACTTTATAGTAATCAATACAGTGCAACGATGATGATTTGTCTACAATTGAGGTTCATGTGAATCCCAAACAACTGTATACACTGTTACTTAGAACTGTTAGCTTTTGATATCTTCATTAGGTAAACACAACTTGCCTCCCTGCACAACCGTATCAAAATTACAACTAAAAATATAACAATCATCACGTCAGAAATCAAGTGGAATGGAAGTCTTACAATTACATAGTTAAAGAAAACACATTCATCCACACTGGTAAGAGGGGTGGAGATGCGGAACAGGTTGGTCCCACATCCATGTGTGGTGGATAAAAATTTGGTAGGGATATCTCGGGGGCAAGGAGTCCCAGCCCCACACCAGGCCCCCCCAGCACGGTGCTCCAGTACCAGGAAAGTAAGTCCCCACAACTGGCTGTCAAAACCAGCAGGGACTGAGTGGGTAGAAGAAACGTCTGGAGTCCCAAGAAGTTCCCCTTAAACAGCCAGCTGTGGGGACTTACTCTACACATAGACTTACACAGACTCACTCCCTCTGAGCTCCAGCACCAGGGTAGCAGCTTGAAAGGCACCAGCAGCACAGAGGGAGGAACTGAAGTGTCTGGCATCAAGGCAAGAGCTGGGAGACAGTTTTCTCCCAGACAGCAAGGCGAGCAGAAGCCACTGTCCCTTTTCTGAGCCCTCCCCTCAGAGAGACACAGAGCCAGCAGGCAGGTGCCATATCTGAGACTCCCATCAACCTGGCTAACACTGTTTGCCCCGCCCTGGAGATCCCCCGAGACTGCATTCCACCCAACTTATGGACCTGACCAAACTGTTAACTGTGACTTTCCCACATGAATGGCTGGTCATGTCTCCTACCTCACAACTTCCTAAATCCTTTCAAACAAGAAGCAGTTAAGTGACCCAAGCCTGGCACTAGAAGCAGCCAGCCTGGATCTGGGGATCCAGCCTCGCTTCACCTGGGATCTCCAAGCCCAGCATAAGTAGCAGCCATCTCAGGTTAGTTTACAGCTCATATAGAGTGGCCCCAGGCAGAACATAGGTAGAAGCTCGCTTGGGCCTATATGACCCAGGATACCCCAGACCCTGCAAACCCCGTGGACAGCTGCAGACCATGCTGGAGCACCAATACCCAGTCCCAGCAGAGCTAATCCTCCACAGACAGTGGAGGTTGGTGGTCAGTGGTCAGTCAGTCCTTACAGCTGGCTGGCCTAGGTAAATCCCTCTCGCTGACCTGCCAGCAGCAATCAAGGCTCAACTACAAGAGGAGGGTGTACTCAGCCCACACAAAGGGCACACCTCAAGTACCTTTGTTGATAAAGGAGGCTGTGTCACTGGACCCTACAGGGCACTTACTACATTAGGCCATGCTACCAGGACACAAAGTCAAAGCAGCTCTAGCTAATACATAGAAACAAACAGGGAGACTACCAAAATGAGGAGACAAAGAAACACAGCCTAAATGAAAGAACAGATCAAGATGCCAGAAAACAAACCAAATGGAGATAAGCAATCTATCAGATGCAGAGTTGAAAATACTGGTTATTAGGGTGCTCAAGGAACTTGGTGGGTACTTCAACAGCATAAAAATGATCCAATTCGAAATGATGAAGACACTAAGTGAAATAAAGAACAATTTACAGGGAAACAAGAGTGAAGTGGATGAAGCTGAGAAATAAATCAGTGGTTTGGAACATAAGGAAGAAAAACATATACAATCAGTACAGCAAGAAGAAAAATGAATTCAAAAAATCAAGGACAGTGTAAAAAGAGCTTCTAGGACAACTTCAAGCCATCCAACATTCACATCATAGGGGTGCCAGAAGGAAAAGAGAAAGTGCAAGAAACTGGAAATCTATTTGAAAAAATAATGAAAGAAAACTCCCTGAATTTGGCAAAAGAAATAGACATGCAAGACCAGGAAGCACAGAGAGAACCAAACAGTATGGATGCCAAGAGGCCCACTCCAAGACACACCACAATCAAAATGCCAAAGGTTAAAGATAAAGAAACATTCTTAAAAGCAGAAAGAGAAAAGAAGTTAGTTACCTACAGAGGAGTTCCCATAAAAATTTCAGCTGATTGCTCAGAAGAAACTTCGAAGGACAGAAGGGATTGGCAAGAAATATCCAAAGTCATGAAAAACAGGGACCTATAGCCAAGGTTGCCCTACTCAGCAAAGCTATCATTTAGAATTGAAGGGCAGATAAAGAGCTTCCCAGACAAGAAAGTAACTAAAGGAGTTAATTATCACCCAGCCCTTATTATATGAAATGTTGAAGGGACTTACTTAAGAAAAGATCAAAACTATGAATAATAAAATGGCAATGGATACAACTCTATCATCAGTTGAATCTAAAAAACAAACTAAGCAAACAAGAAGAACAGAGACAGAACCATGGATATAGAGAGTGTTTTGATGGTTGCCAGATGGGAGAGGGTTGTGGGGCAACAGCTGAAGAGGTAAAAGGATTAAGAAGAACAAATAGGTAGTTACAGAATAGCCATGGGGATGTAAGGTACAGTATGGGAAATGGAGTAGCCAAAGAACTTATATGCATGACCCATGGACTTGAAGGATGGTGTGGGGGGACTGCCTGAGACAGTGGGGGATACTGGGTAGAAGCAGGCTAGGGGGGAAAAATTGGAACAACTGTAATACCATAATCAATAAAATACAATTAAAAAATCATATTTTAGAACAATTATTTTAAAATCACTAAAATTCAAAGACACTATTTTAAAATCTAGTATTAAAAATAAATCACAAACATGTTATATATAGTTCATGTAATTCTTTTTTAAATTACTGTCTTTTAAAAAATATTTTATTTATTTCTTATTTTTAGAGAGAAAGGAAGGGCAGGAGAAAGAGAGAAAAAACATGGATGTGAGAGAGAGTCACCCGTCAGTTGCCTCTCATATGCACCTCAACTGGAGACTGAACCTGCAACCCAGGCATGTGCCCTGACCAGGATCCATTCTGGCAACCCTTCACACCATGAAACAACACCCAACCAAATAAGCTACACCAGTCAGGATCTTCATTCAATTCTTTATTACCTTTGGAACATTCTTTTTCCTTTAATAAAAAGAATCACGGTGATAATATATATATATATACACACATATATACACATACATACATCTACATACATACATACACACAAATACATACACACACACTACTGGTAGAAGATTAAGAGATCTATAAAATGTCATCAAAAAAAATTTCATGTATTAGCAAATATGCCAACTCTTAAATTTTAAAAACGCTTAATTTTCAAAGAAGTCAATTAATAGACTCGACCTTGAAGCCAACCCATCTCTTTCTCAACCAATGATCTGTTATACTTCTCAGCTAATCCTTTGGAAAAGTCTTTCTATATATTCACCAACGAGTTCAGAACACCAAGATGTGGGTACAGAACAGAAACGTGAGCAGGTCACCCAACATATCTGGTCTTAGTCCAGTTACTGCAATGAAGTCCACAGGCGCAGGTGGGGGAGGAAACCACACAATCCAATGATGCACAGCTGTCAGAGATCTGGAGCAGGACTTTCCCCATGATCCAAGGGTCAATGGTTTAGACGGTGCTATGGAAATAAAGCTGAAAAAAATCTGAAGAGGAAATAAAACTGGAAAGGTATGACTCAACATTTTTTACTTTTGGTGAAGTCAAATGGTTTCCACCACTGGGCAAACTGCAGTGCTTTCTTCCTCTGATCCTCAAAGCTTTCTCGGACCCCTTTCCTCCAAAGTCTTGGTTCTATATCCAGCATCCCACCAATGATTTCCTTTTAAAGAATGAGAAAAATACAAACACATATATATAAATACTAAAAACAGGATGAAACTATTTGCTTATTCTGCTACTAAATATAGCACTAAGTTGTTCTCCATGAAAATGTTCCAATTTTACATAAATATTAGTTTCAAGTTAAACATATCTTGCTTTCAATTAGTTCTAACTATGCAAACCCTGTAACCTAGGGGTCCTGGCTGTGTCTCCTTGTCAAGCAGTTTGTCCATTTTGTTGTTCATTACCACACAGCAGCCAAGTGGAGAAAGAGAAAGTGAATTTTAATTAATTTACTCCTTATTAGCTGCTCCAGTGTGAAGAAAGAGTTAATCAACATCTAATAATTATTAATGTTGTTGTTCAACTGCAGTTGAATCTCAGATTAATGTTTTCTCTGCTAGCTAGTACACTTATAAACCAATTTCTTCTATTATCTTTTTCAGGAATCAAAAGTAAATTTTAATACAATACATATAAATCCAGAATTAAAAAGTATAAATCATCTTCATTTTAAAAGTCATACTCCCAATCCCTAAAAAAATGATTTTATCTCCTTATTATTCTACATTATTTCCTTCATGATCCTCTTTTTATGCTATTAGCTACAGAAATTAATCAAATATGTGCTTTTGAGTATTCATGTACAGAAAGGCACAGGAAGACTGTAATATTTACAGAAACACAGTCTAGGTAAACAATGGGATAAGGGTTGGATTCTGCATGTTCAATCCAGCTCTGTGGTGGTAAAATCTTGGACATAATCTAAGACGTAGATTTTTCATCTCAACAGTCATACCAAGGGAACCTACTGTGAAGAGGAAGAGTGAAATACTGTAGGGGATACAAAGGAACTAACATACATATGAGCTCTCTCTTCAAAGAGCTCATAACAGAATGTGGAGTTGTGGTGATAACCCAACTATAAAAAGGAATGTCTTACAAAGTAGAGTAGGTAAATGCAAATTATAAGGAGACTCAAAAAAGAAAGATTCTATTTGTTAAATATATCAGGAAAAGTTTCATGGAAATGGGAATCTCCATCATTGAGGCTGGGAAATAAAGAAGCCAATAGTTTGTAGAAGACATCAAGAGAAATGAGGTAAATTTAGGTTTAATGCAAGAGTTTCTTGGCATCAGCCCAAGTAAGCAACATAGTTAAAGAAAGCCTAGAAGGGATTTGACCTAATCCCTAGTATTATAAACTGACCTAATATTGTCTCTATAAAACATCAAGTTTTGTCTTATGTGTACCATATAGGGTTCACTCTTGTTTCTTACTAACACAGTATTAATGGAAAGAGACAACCCCTTCTTGCTTTGTGAACAACTGCTGAGGCAGCAGAATAAAGGAATTCTTCGGCTCACAAGCTGATTCTTCAAAAGCAATTTTTGTGAAAAATTAATCAGTAATGCAGTGTTAACCAAGGAAGCTTTCATTTAAGCATTAAAACAGTATCGTATCAACTATAAATATGCATAACATTCGAGGGAGGACTATTTTCCAATTAAATTTACAAAAGTAAATGATAATTTACTTCATTTGCATTAGAACCAAGTTTTAAAAAAGTAAATCCACAGATATGTTCAATGACAAAATTCTGTCATCACCGAATAACAACAGAGCAATGAAAACAAATTTCTTTCTAGTTAACTTTGGAAAAAAATATTCTGAAAATTTCTCAAACTAGCTTCTGTAATACACTTCAACAGTTCAAAAATGCACGTGATTTTGCACCCCTGGTCAATCCTTTAAGGGCAACAGCATGAAGTTTGTAACCCCAACCTCTGGAGTTGAGATTCCTCTTGACATGTCCCTATTCATTGTAGATGATGGTCTTCTACAGGGGATGAAAGTGGGGAGGAGGAACAGGGAACCCTGGGAACTCGTCAAGTCTCCTCGAGGATTTAGGAGATGACCTGAGCAGAAAGGCCGAGCTACACTGGTTTGAAAGGTCACTTCTAGAGCTCCTACTGCCTGGACTTCCTTAGAGCGCTTCAGTGGCTATGTAATTGATTCCAGTCCCCAGTACTACTTACACACTACCCACATGCTCAGTAGACACGGGTAAGGGCTATGCCCCTAGAAGGCAGTCTGTAGTACTGAGAAGAGCCTACTGACCATCAAAAGATCTGCACTCTAGCATCTGGTCAGAAACTATGCATGAAATAGGTCATATAATTCTTGAAGTACATGGTGCTTAATTATAAATGGAGATGAGATCATTTGTTCTTTGGTTAAATCATGAATACATGGTTACCCCTGGTTCTCTCATTTGTTAGCAAATGACATTGAACTGCAGAGAGGTTTCATATAACCTCTCTGCAGTTCAGTTTCTTCACCTGTAAAATAAAAGTAATAACAGTATCCACATAACAGAATTATTGTGAGAATTAAGTGAGTGCTTAGAATAATACCTATATTAGTGTAAACCCTCAATAAATGCTGCTAAGTATCACTTTCAGCACAAGGCTGATTGACTCCACTGTAGTCACTGCTGACACTCTAACAAATCTTTCATTCCAAAGTGACATTCCTGACTGTACCCAATATTCTGGGGTGATTGCATTAATAGTTTCTAGGTCATCCCTCTAAAACCTGGGTAGAACAGTACTGAACAATCTCACTGTATCTTGTGACCAAAGTTTTTAATTCCCTTCAACAGAAAAGTGCTACCAAATGGCTAAACACTGAAATTTTATTAAATTTATGAATATACCTTTCCAAAGTAATGAGGAAATTTGTGTTGATCTTCAATGATATGAGCAAACCCTCCTTGGAGGCCAAAATCCACAGAGAAATACGGTAAGCCTTTGGGTACCTAAACAAACATAAAATCGCAATGTGAAACCAGAAAGGCTGGGGGAGTGGGCTGGGACTGGGGTAGAAGGGAGAAAACTGACTTGAACAACAATTAAAATTAAAAAAAAAAAAAAAAAAAAAAGAAAGCCATGCTTAATCCCTCTTCTTGCTCTCTCGCATGGCAGTAATTAAGTATCCCTCAAGAAAAAGTATACAATGAATTTACAAATCACTGAATGCTGATTCAATGATAGTCAATACTGAAGCAACAACCTAACTTTCTAAAACCTTTCACTCAGTAGCCTTTCAGCCAGACAGCTCTTCACAACATTCAAAAATTATAATCAAAGCCAATTATTTCCCTGTCTTTGGGAAAAACAGAAAAGAAAGGTATATTTCAAAAATATAACAGCAGAATAATTTCCTTTAGACTATACAAACAGAGAATAAAAATAAGCTTTCTTGTATTTTTCTCACAATGCAGAACAGGAAGAGGGGCCTAGCCATATACATCAAGCTTTGTTTATAATACCACTGAGACTTTATTACTATTTATTTGTCAAAGATAAATTAAACTCGAACAACCATAATTTTTATTAACTAGGGAGATGGGTATGGCAATACTTAGTTTACCAACCTCATTTCAAAGTATTTCCAGGATTAACAACAGTTGACCCTTGAACAATTCCGCAGTTAGGGGTACTGAGCCCACACAGTTGAAAATCCACATATATCTTGACTCCAGACGAGCTTAACTGCCCTCAGTATCCCTGGGGGGTTGGCCCCAGGACCCCCATGGATATTAACATCTAAAAATGCTCCAATCCCTTATTACAAGGGGACACAGATCAATGCGTGCATGCAGTCGACCCTCTGCATCCATGGACTCCCAAGCACAGACCAAAAACAATATAGTGATTTATCTTAAAACGTCTACATTAAGTGGACCAATGCAATTCAAATCTACATTTGTCAAGGATCCTTACCTTCCCCCCCTTTCCTTTCCCTCTCCACACACACACAGTATTTTAAACTCTATCTTGATTGGAAAAGGCTGTAATTTATTTATTTATCAATGAAGTAAATCTTTGTGCATGCAAGTTTTCCCTCCAAGCTCCAATTCTGTCAGTAGAAATTATTCGAATGAGTCACATAACAGTATTATCTGTCCTCTCCAATCCCCTCATACCATCAGCATTTACTATGAATCACATCTTTGTGTTTTGTATTGTGTCCTCCAGAAGGCATGACTTGAATAGAGATGGGATAGTACAGTGGAACAAAAGCAGTCAGTTTGCATAATATAAAGCATTTAAAATTGGGGCTAATAAGGAGTTATGCATGTCATAGAAAAAATATAAGTAAAAACCAATTAGTTTATAAAATATGCAGAGAAATAGATTACTGTTTTATAACTTTGGGGTTTTTTTGTATCTTCACATTTTTTAAATACAAACATGTATGACCTAGATAATTAAGAAAAAATAAAGAGACAGGCTCTATCACAGGCCCAACCCTTATGGCTGTGCACCCACAGGCAAGCTATCTGACATCTCTGAGTTTCATGAGAACTGCGAAGAGCTCAGAGGTTTGCTGTGAGAATCAAAAGGAAAATGCACATAAAATATGCAGCCCAGCGTTTAGCACAGTCAAGATCTCCAAATATCACTTGTATTTCTGTCTCCCAAATACTACTACCTTGTGCCAAACTAGTGAAAAAAAAAGAAAAAAGAAAAAGAAAAAAGGGTGGAGGACTCCATGAGAGTATTTCTGGTCTCTGTAGGAGATGCTCATGTGTGAAACACAAATCTGAATGGCTAAACAATATTACAGAAATACATCAACTAAAGGACAGCACTGGGAAGGAGAGATAACTTAAGGAAGCAATTTGTAATGACAGTGCCCTTGCCTTTTGTTTGTATTATACTGTGTTTGGCAGAATAATGATCCCTTAAAAATACACCAATAATCTAATCCATTATTTTGCTATGAATATGCTACTATATATGGCAAAAGGGACTTTGCAGATGCAATTAAGTTATGAAATCCTGACATGGGGATATTATTCTGGGTTATCCAGTGGGCCCAATGTTATCACAAAGGTACTTACAAGAGAGAACAAGGAAGGTGAGACTCGGAGAAAGACTGGAAGATCACAGACCATTAGATTTAAAGACAAAGCCATAGAATGCAGGTGACTTCTCGAAGCTGGAAAAAGTCTACTCGAGAGGCTCCAGAAAGAATGCAGGCCTGCTGAACATCTTAATTTCAGGCCAGTGAAACTCATTTTATATTTGTGACCTCCAGAACTATAAGATAATAAATCTGTGGTGTTTAAAACCCTAAGTGTGTGGCAATTTGTTACAGCAGCACTAAGAAACTAATATACACACCAAATGTCAACAGTCTATGACAAAATTGCCAAGATGCCACAACAAACTCTGAACTACTTCTACACAAAGAACAACTTCTACCACAACTCCTCCTCTGTGCTCCTGCTGCAAAAGGTACAAGCTATGGTTTTCCTAGTATCAAAATATATGCACATTTAGCACTTACCTCTTCTGGCCTAACCAGCCAGAGGGAAAGAAGATAAAACTTTGATACCACTCTTGAAAAGGTACTGAGAGTTACCTGTTTTTTATAATCACCATAATTGCAAAAAAATTATTTATGGTAGAAAACAGTAATATTTTAATATTCTCCTTTTAATATTCCAGATGTTACTCCTGACTTCATATAATTGTCTCTGAATTTGAAGATCTCTGGGTAAATCCAAAATCTTCTTGAGACTGACTTTCCTTAGTTTAAAAAAATCAGTCTCTAAATGTGTTAGATGTTCTTTTAAAAAATCGGCCCCTAATGTGTTTGCTGTTTTTCACAAAATTAAACTTAAAATTTACAACATTAAAAAGTTCAGAAAGAACTCATATGAAATCTCAATAGCTATGTAAAAAATGACCACCTTTTTGACAAGTTATTTAATAGCATGTCAACTCCCCTACAATAAATAGTCAGATCTGCTTCCCTTGTGTGTTTCTATAAACTTCAGACTACACTGCAAAGACATCAAAAGACCCATAGAGAGTAAACAAAATGGGCATAAAAAGAGAAGCTTATACTCACACAGCAAGGAAAACCATAAATCAACAAAGAATCAGAATGAATTGCAAATACGTGAATCTTGCTAAAAGCTAAGAGTCTTCTGTAGGGAAAAAAAACACTCCACCCACAGTAAGGCAGGTAAAACACTTCATGAAACTGCCAAGGACGCAGCACTCTTAGAAGAAGGAGAGTGAGACTTTTTTCAGAATAAAAATAATGTTAAAATAACTCAAGACTGTTCATTTCATGCTCAAAACACTTTTACAATTTAAAAAAGATATTGGAAAGCTTATTAACCTAAGAAGTGACCTGCTTTGGAATTATTCTCATACTCAAGTTCTCTCCACAATTCCATCCACTAGTTACTAAATCCTACAGCTAAGAAGAACCTTAACAAGTCACCTGGCTCATTCCCCATCTGCTGGGACTCTCCGATGCAATGCTATGTGGTGACTTAACAAAGGCAACTGGTGCTATATTTGAAATACTTCAAAGCTGAATATACTAGCAAGAATCTGTATCTTTTCTTATTTTCCATATTGGTTAAGTTAAAATATTAGAACCCTATGGGTTCTTAAGTATTTCTCTAGATTTTTAAAAAACAAACTTACACTAGGTAGGTGGTGGTTTACCAGTAAGAAAACTGCATATGCAATGTAGCAAATGGAGAATATATTTCTTTCAAAATTTCTTCCTCAAAATATTTTCAACTGCCATCAAAATTATGTTCTAAAAGAATATTTAATGGCATTGGAAATTATGGTATGACAAGTGAAACACAGGCACAAAAGCTGCATGTACATTAGATACATTTTTCTATAGGCTCATACGACAGAAGTACACAGGAACTTTAGGAGGGTTTTTATGTTTTGTTTTTAAATATATTGTCTAGCTCAATTCACCAGAAATGGAAGAAAAAAAGATGGTAGAGAATATTTTATCTTTGAGTTAACTATCTTCAATAATGCAATGGAATTTGAATCTTTTGACTGGGATATAATAAACGTAATAAGGAACCCTATCAGTCACAGGTAACAGGAGTCTAGCTTCCCCAAAGAAGAAATGGGAAAGAAATATTCTAGTGATAATTACTACTAGAAGAGGGGTCAGCAAATTTAAAAAAGCTTATACAAGTTTCAATAAAATATTTGAGGGGGTAGGCTTTGCAGATCATACAGTCTCTGTCACAACTCTCTGTCTGCCCTTGCAGCACGAAATCTGCCAAAGACAAAATATAAACAAATGGGTGCAGCTGTCTCCCCCCAAAATTTCCTTTATACAAGCAGGCAGCAGACTGGATTTAGCACCCAGGCTGGTGCTAAATCCTGCACAAAAATATAAGCTCCATCAAGTCAGGGATCTTCTCCGCTTTGTTCCACTATGCATGACAAGCACCTAAATAGTGCCTGGTAAATAGGAGACACTCAATAAACATTTATAAACTAAATCACTTATTTAATTAAAAAAACAAGCTGAAAGTCACAATTCTACTTCTATTCCCTTTAATTTGTATTTCTAGAAAAGACAAGTCATTTATTACAAAAGTACTCAACTTATGTGAACCTTGTATCTAAAACTTCTTCTGTAAGTCAACATTGAACTAAGAAAAATGGTGAAAAACTCCCCAACAGAATAATGAACCTGTAGTCTATTTTATTTTTTATTTAATCTTATTTTATTTAATACTATCTACTTCTCGTGAACAAAAATACACTTATATGTTACATGTGAGATCAATTAATTTTTGCAGTCTCTATATATTTTTTTAAATTACATTTTATTGATTATACTATTACAGTTGTCCCAGTTTTTCCCCCTTGGCCCCCTCCACCCAGCACCCCCACTCCCTCAGGCGATCCCCACACCTTTGTTCATGTCCATGGGTCATGAGTAGGTTTTTTAGCTACTCCACTTCCTATAATGTATTTTAGATCCCCATGGCTATTCTGTAACTACCTACTTATATTTATTTTAAAGGGATTTAACAGGAAACCTTGTGCAAAGAACAAACAAAAAACAAGTTCCAAATTCAAAATAAAACACCTAGGAAAATATCTCTCATTGTAATTCTATCCACAAGAAAGCCTCTCTCACCACTCGCCCCACGGAAGCTGGGAAGCCCAGGAGCGGAACTCCCGTGGCAGGTCTGACGGCTGTCACAGCCGGATCCAGGCAGGACCACGGCAGAGGGCCAGGAGGTCCGAGAGAAACACTCAGACAAGCACTGGAGCAAGTGTGCCTTGGCTAGATCAAGCAAAGTGAAGAGAATATCTCCTTTATTTGTAGAACCAGACAAATGTCTTTCTCAAATAAGATATGGAAATTAATGAGGATCCTTAAGTGTAATTTCTAATATTAGGGGAAAAGAAGATACTTACAGCCTTTCTGATATTTTTTGAAGAGAGATCAATCAATTTCTTGTTCATAGACCATTCTTCATCAGATTCCATTATGGCTTTCTAGGAAACAGCCATTTGTTAATGAAAAATAACATATATGCAAATACAATAAACAATTTAAAAATGAAATAACAGTAAATTAACTACAGGGTATATTATACATGGTAAGTGATTCTGAATGAATAGGTTTTAATTTCTATTATTTAAAATTAGAACTCCTTGATTTTTTAAAGTCTTACCTTTAGCCATGCTATATTTTTCTCACTCAACTCTTGTACTGATGTTAACTTCAGCTCAACTTTATATGATTTTAAAAATCCTTAATAATACAAAGCAATTTAATATTGCACATAAATTACGAGTATAAAAGTTTACAAATTCCTTACTCCACTCACAGAAATCTATTCAAATAAATACATTTAGTTTTACAGCTCTTGTTCCCAGTATGAAGAGTAATTTATATGCTTTTTAGCAACCAAGTAGTTGAACTATTTCTGCCTATATAACAAAGACATAAAAAAAAAATGCAGGGGAAAAACATACAAATGGCATTATAAAACTTTCTAGGCTAGGCAATATGACTAATATTTATGGTAAACAAATATTTAATAGAAAGGCCAGGGTGTTAAGCACAAAATAATCTCATTTTTGTACAGTATCATTATTAACAAAGCCAATATTAATGATGAAATTAACATTCAAATAAGAACAATTTAAATGCATCAGATATACTGTTTCCCAATTAAAAGGCAGGAATCACTTGTGTTGTTGACACTACAATGTGCCCATTCCACATAAAATTGAAGCTGAATACAAAAAATGCATTTTTAATGACCAAAGGTTGTACCCTATACCTCAATGCCTATATTCACAATTACCTAAGACTATATTGAGGAAGAATAAAAAAAATTCCACTGAAGACCAGTATAATAATCGCTTCCTCGCCCTGGCTGGTGTAGCTCCGTGGATTGAGCACAGGCCTGGGAACCAGAGGATCGCGGTTCAATTCCCAGTCTGGGCACATGCCTGGGTTGCAGGCCAGTTCCCAGCATGGGATGCACAAAAGGCAACCACACATTGATGTTTCTCTCCCTCTCTCCTTCCCTTCTAAAGATAAATAAATAAAATCCTTAAAAAAATTCTTTAAATAAAAAAAAATAATCTCTTAACTGACTCAACTGATTTTTTTAACACAGGGTTGGCATGGATTTGGGGATCATATCCTTCTATACTGTAATAGCATAATTCTTTAAATCAAACATTCAGATTTTTTTTAAAAGGTCTACAGAGAAAGTAGATTTTCACCACCTCAGCAGCCTTAAAACATTTTATAATCTTTTTTACTGAAATGTATAGTTCACATTAATAAACATTACCATCCTATACTGTCTAAACATTGCATCTGTAAGTCTCCCAAAACCATCACACAAAATATTACCTTTTTTCATTGTGCATGTTACCATTTCATACATGGTTCTACATTTATATATTTACATAAGTCTATAACTACCAATATAACGTATTCAGATCAGCATCAAACACATGCTATTTAGTAAAAGCTATTTATATTCACATGCTTGAATATTATGATACTTAATTAAGAACTCTAGTCATTTACTATATATCCAAAAGTATATGTCAAGGTTAGATATAAGTTTCATTTTACAAATAGCATAATGAGGTACTAAATATTAAAACTTACAGCTATAACTTCTGTCAGCAATTGCTATTTGTACTGTTTATATGTACAAATGTACTGTTTATTTGTACAAATATGTACAAATTGCTATTTGTACTGTTTATATAAACTAAGGCTCTCATGAATTTCAATGATAAGTTTTCTAGAGTTATGACTATAATTTTGATGTGGAAGTATGCAAGATAAAACTGATTTTTCATTTAAGAAAATGAAATAGTAATTATAAATTACCATTTGCTAGCATATTCACACTTACTTTAAAAAGTATGCCTTTAGAGGTCAAAATCCTAAATTTCTTTCTATAGAAATTTATATAGCATTATTTATTTACTTATGTATATGATATAAAATTTCATGTAGGCGTATTAAAGAAAAACACAAGAATAAAGATGACTGTATTTGGTACTGTATACCAGCACTGTACCAAAATATACGTCTGCATGTAAAGATTATCTATAAATACCTTAAAGTAGATGGGAGCCATATCACCCACTTCTTTCGGAAGAGGAATGCATTCATAAACCATATGATACTGTTTCTTCATGCTCATATTAGTTTCTAAAAAGATGCAGTCCAATCCTTTATCTTCAAACATCTTTACCAATGATTTTCTAAACAACTGAAGAAAGAAAAATAGTCAAACTTGGCCAAAAAATGAAAGATGCCCAAAATGAAATATAGCAAAATATTCAAGGAACCAACGTTGACAAGAAGAAAACCAGGATTCAAAGCAATGCTTTGGAACAAAAGGAAGAAATAAACATCCAAGTGGATCAGAACGAAGAAACAATCCAAAAAAATGCAGAGAGGCTGAGGACTCTCTGGGACAACCTGAAACATTCCAATATGCAAATTATAGGGGTGCCAGAAGGAAAAGAACAGCAGCAAGAAATTGAAAACTTATTTGAACAAATAATGAAGGAAAACTTCCCCAATCTGGCAAAGGAAATAGACTTCCAGGAAGTCCAGGAAGCTCAGAGAGTCCCAAAGAAGTTGGATCCAAGGAGGAACACAACAAGACACATCATAATTAAATTACCCAAGACTAAAATGAGGGAGAGAATCCTAGAAGCAGCAAGAGCTAAGGGGACAGTCACCTACAAAGGAGTTCCTATCAGACTATCAGCTGATTTTTCAAAAGAGACTTTACAGGCAAGAAGGGGTTGGAAAGAAGTATTCCTAGTCATGAAATCTAATCATTTTTGTAAATATGTTCTCTAAAACAGGTGAATGACCATAAGGATATTCACCAGGACATAATTTGAGTTTTGTATACATATTTGAAAGTAAAAATAAAAATCAGAAAAGTCTATTTCTTTAAATAAGCTGGAATTCAGGTATCTTATTCATTTACTATGTTACAGTAATTTACAACTTCCAACATACTCTTTTATCACACACACAAAGAGAGCTATAATGCCATTATTCACACAAAACAGTCCGGCTTTTCCTCCCTCACTCAATTTTCTGTAATGCATACGGCTTATCGGATCTGCTAAACTATAACGTAACCTGTACTAGAACATACCATACCTTTGGGCAGAATTAATAAATGCTTTTGTGTCTGAATTTCTCACAACACTTGGATTATCTTATACTCATGCACTCACATGTATTACACTGAACAAGTTTCTTCTTTATCCACCCCAATGTTTTCATCAAGTAGCTTAACTTCTTACAGAAATATAAAACATGCAGACTTGATTTCTGTATTACTTAAATCCACTTGGCACTATATTTTGCTCTAAGTTAAATACGTTTTCCACATATAAATTTTTAAAAAGCATTTTAGAAAAGTCCAAAAAAATGGAAAACTACATTTGCATCCTTTCTACTTTAAATTATTTTTTGCACTGCCATCCAATACTAGGAAAAAACAAATTTTCACATCAAATATATTTGTCCACATTGTTATCCTTGCTTAGCCATAGATGCATTACAATAGTCTGCCCTATAACTTTCACAGTATAAACTTAAATATTACAGGGAGAAAGAGACTGAATTTCAGGAATGCAGTCAAAGTGTCCCCTCTTTTGGCATCTTTATCAGCATGATGAAAAGACCTTTATCAGCATGATGAAAGAGACCAGTATATAGTCTCTTTTGAAGTCTTAAATGTTCTCACACATTTTTCCAACTAGGAGTCCCTGTAGCCCCCATTTAGTTAGTTGTCAGGTATCAGAAAAACAGTTTCTGTTTCCTCCTTCCCTCCCTCCCCCCACCTCTCCCTCGCCTTTCTCCCTTTCTCTCCCTGCCTGCCCCCCATCACTATGAGGTCTTGAAATAATTCAGCAACAATTTTACCTATATTGTGCTTTTCAATTTCTTAAGGCCACACGCACACACAAAAGATAAGAAAAAGAGTCCCTGAATCCAAACTCTGGGCCAGATTATTAAAGAACAGAAATTAAAGCTGGTAATAAAATCCCCACAAAAATCACAGCAGCAGAGACAGACAGTTCCATTATAAAAACATAGTAAATGCTGAATGTATATTCATCCATCTGACTTCCAAAATTTATTTTTTATTTTCTGAAAATGTCTTTTCTTTTGGCTGTATTGTATTATCTTACTGTGGTAAGAATGATTATCTCATGTTTCACAAATGCACAGATTAGAAATCTTACACTGATTTTTTTAAATTTATTTTCATTGTTGTTAAAGTACAGTTTTTTGTCTTTTACTCCCATCCCAGCCCACCCTCCCCCAGTGCTCCCCACCTCCCTCCCACTTCCACCCACCTTAGTTGTTATCCATGTGTCCTTTATACTTGTTCCTGTAAACCCTTCCCCCTTTACCCTGAAATTCCCTCCCCTCTCCCCTCTGGTTACTGTCAGCCTGTTCTCTATTTGAGTGACTTTGGTTATATTTTGTTTGCTTGTTTGTTTTGTTGTTTAGATTCTTGTTAAAGGTGAGATCATATGTATTTGTCTTTTACCACCTGGCTTATTTCACTCAGCATAATGCTCTCCAGTTCCATCCATGCTGTTGCAAAGGGTAGGAAGGAGCTCCTTCTTTCTTTCTGCTGCATAGAATTCCATTGACACTGATTTTTTTAAAGTGCAAATAGTAATTACTTTGTCAGTTTATTTAGTAGACAAATGTTTTCAGCCACACACCTAAAACTACATGTTATATGTCAATATATCTCAAAAAATTTTTTTAAGGTTTTCAAAGCCTGCAGGACATGAGGGATCACGGTGAAAACATCATAATCCACAGGTATGCACAACTGCAGAAATGTATAAAAGATTTCAAGTTCAGAAAGTTAAAATCAATGAAGGTATAAAACCTTTGGGATTTATCACAATAGTTTTGTGAAGATTGCTCATGAGTGTTACAATAATAATGAACATTATCATGCTAACCTGAATTTCCTCCCAGATGTCTTCATCCAATAAGGTGGCTGCTCTGTGGTGCTGCAAAGGGACTATCAAGCAGTGACCCTCGGTAAGAGATCGAAAATTGGGTAAACATAAGTATACCTAAAAAGAAAAAAATTGCAAATGTGAAATGTTATTGCTATTTATTCTCAGATGCAACAGATAAACCCTTAGTAGGGAAATATGACTAACATTTAGTAAAGCATACTTGTTTAAAGCAATATATTCTAATATTTTAAAGATATTTAATATTTTATAAGCCAGGAAGATAGCTTTTAATCAATTGCAAAGTAACAACAAAAGTTTCAGTTTTAACTGTTACATATCAAAGATTAAGCTTCCCCAAGGGCAGAATGAATGACACTTTTTCCTTGGTCTGAGAAAGCTGCATGCTTTAAAAGCTCTTGACATAATTTTGCAAAAATAAAAAAAACACATGGCCTGGTAATAGCAGAGATGTCTAACTAATGTTTATTAATTCAGTCCTTCTTCCTCTCATTGGCTGAGAAAAAATAATTAACCCAACTAAGAGAAAACAGAAATAACCCCTGTATGGCTTTACTTCTTTGGCTAAGTTCCACTTATTTACATACATGTATTACCTATAAGCTGGTGCTATTTTTCCATAATAAGCTATCGTTTTTTAAAAGGGTCAATTAGTATGTACGAGGTCTATCTGGAAAATGTCAAGCTACTGTTAATATAACACGAATAGTTTACACAACACTGATATAACCTGGTAGCCAAGGAGAATGGACTGGAATGAGCATGTCTGCACTATCATGACTTCACTGTACCAGTCAGTGGGGATGGTAGATGCAGCTGAGTGAGCCTGTGTACTGTGTGGCCATCACATTCAAAATGGCTGAGGGGGTACAGCAACAGTGAATCCAAATCAAATTTTGTGTTAAGCTTGAACGTTGCTCCACAGAAACTACTCGGGTGATGCAGACAGAAGACAGCAACTATGGGCAACTGGTGATTGGCAGTTTCATCAAACACCACACCTGCTGAGGCACCATGTCTCATGTAGAGCTTGTAAGTGAAACATCAAATCACACAGGTGACTCAGCCCCCTACAGCCCAGATTTGGTGCCCTGTGACTTCTGGCTTTTCCCCAAATTAAAATTACCTTTGACAGGGAAGAGATTTCAGACCAGACCGTTGATGAGAGTCTAGAAAATAAGATGGGGCAACTAATAGCAACTGGGAAAACTGTGTGAGGTCTCAAGGTGCCTACTTTGAAGGGGATTGAGGCAACACTGTCTTATGTAAAAGGTTTCTTGTATCTTCTTCAATAAATGTCTCTATTTTTCATATTATGTGGCTAGATACCTTCTGGACAGACCTCATGTATGATGAGCAAAAGGCATTCATGAGAAACATAAATAATATTCTGCAAAAGGGCTTGACCTCATTTTCTACTTTTTTTGGTAGATTTTAGCTAGAAATCTTTTGTATAGCAAATAATATTTCTATATTTAACAAAATAATGCACATTTTAAAAACTTTCCTGAGAAAGGACAAGGCAGAAGTAGATATAAATACCTAAAATAAATACTGTAAATACCTAAGTTTACAGTAAAATCACAAACATATTCACAATTAAACACAATGTCCGCAGTGAGTCATTAATTGTAACAAACTTACTATACTTACTATAACATGTAGTAACAGAGGGAACTGGATGTGAGGTATATGGAACCCTGTACTATTTTTTTCAATTTTTCTATAAATCTAAAACTGTTCTTATAAACAAAGTCAAAAAAATCAAATACAATAAAAAATAAACTATTAAAAACTTTTTTAAATAGTCAATTCTTTTTTTTAAAGTAAAGCACAGTGGTAAGACACAAAAGTAGTGAGGTGACTTTTATTTTACAAAAAGGAAAGAGAAAGCAGAGACAGCTGACGACCAGCCTGTTATTTAACTGTCTGACCCTAATGAGGACCAATGCAGTTCCATTAACACATTTGAATTTAAAACATTAACTTTAAATATGAGAAAATCAAGCAGAGTGCAAATCTGAATTGTTTTGAAATACTATCCATCATTTCTGCTTCACAGCAAAGTAACTGCTGGCCTTGTAAGACAGAAGACTGACAAGGTCTGCACACTCCGTGTCTCCCCAAACGCAGACTGTCTTCGGGCACTAGGGAAACGAAGTCACTGAAAATAAACCCATGCTGCTCCTGAGACACCGCAGGAAAAATTTAAGTGTTACTTTATTCTTACTTTTTTTAAAGGTAGGGATCAGACTAGAGGGGAATGAAATATTTATATATAATGTCATAATTATAAAAATATAAAATTTTACATAATGGTCTGGAAAAGAACTTAACAAAACTTTATACAAGTAACCAGTTAACATGCGTTTGCTTTTAATTGACCAAATTTTGAATGGAATTTTTACATTTATCTTTTTCATAAAGTATGGAGGAAAAGAAGAAAAAAAATTGACTATCTTAATGACCTAAATACTAAAGGTGGAATTGAAGAGCCATTGGGTATATAGGGGTGTTTATGTGTGTATACAAAACAAACAAATTAATTAAATTACGAAAAACGTATGTGTATGTTCCCCGAACTATGATTTCCTAAAATTAGGAAATTCATTCTATTTCTCCCATCACTTTTTCTCACTCACTCCACTCCATCTACACTAGTCCTCCTTCAGTTCCATGAGTGCCAAGTTCATTTCCTCTTCAAGGCTTTTCACTCACTGATGCCCCTTCCTGAAACATTATTCACTCATCTCTTCATGTTGTTTGCTCCTTCTCATCTTTCATATCTTTACAAAATACCTCCTCAGAAGCCTTTTCTAAATACCACCTTCTCAAAAATACTTATCATTTCATCCCATTCTCTTGCTTAATCTGCTTTGTGACAAGTAATACTTTCTTAGATCAGAGAAATTATTACTTTGTTTATTTTCTTCCCTAATTCACTAGAATAACAAGTTCCATAATTACAGCTGAGTCTCTATTTTCCCCAGTGACTAATTAGAGTCTGGCGTATATCAGGTACACATAATAATGATTTACCTAATATAAGAATCAAATGACCAAATATTTATTGAAATAAGTGACAATTAAATAAGTAATTATTAAATTTACTGAAATAAGTGATCATTTTGACAACATATAGACTTACTGAAACATTATAAACATGTATGCTTGGCATACAATGATGAGGAAAAGTTATCTATATCCTCATAGAATTTAAAGACTATTGGGGAAGAGACACAATAAACAAGTAAAACAAAACAGAGTAAACTTCTTCGACTTAGGAGGTATTCCATGAAGAAATAAATAGGTTCTATGACAAAGTAAGGGAAGAAGAAGTTACTTTAGACTGAGTTTATCTCCGAGGTGATTTTAATAAGGAGAATCAAGTGCCAATCATAAAAATAAGGTCACACACCTGGTAAATGGCAGAGCTAGAGTTTGAGATAGTCTGGCTCCCAAAGTCCAGGGCCTCAACTACTACCCAACGCTGAAGAGCAGCATCATGTCATTTAAATATGGACACCCACTCTAAAAACGGTTTTAAGAATCGTGGGTCATGAGACCCTAGAAAAGAAAAATATCTGAAACACAGAATAAGAGAAGACAGATTCCTTAGAAATAGCATAGATATGAAAAAAGAAGCACATCTATCTACACCACTGAACTGCTTCCTTAGAACAATAAATGTTGTATTTCTTACCTTAGTACCTATTGCAACAATAAGGTGCTTGGGAAACTGAGAGCTGTCAAAACAATACAGACATTTTTCCATTTGTGCAGCAAGACTCCGGTGTTCGGCAATAGCTTTTTTCCTCTGGTTCTCTTCCTCTTCGCCGAAATGTCCTCTCTCGGCTGCTTTGGAGACAAACATGTCATCCAGCGTATAATAGTCTCCATCTGTTTTTCCCATAAACTGAAAAAACAAAACAACAGAGGCAGGTAAAAGGTAGTAGTTAAGATTTTATTGTACTATAGCACGTTTAAATCGTACCTGTAAATTCTATGATAAAACTCTTACATTAAAAACAAGAGAAAAAGAAAACATGACTAAAATTTCAGTTTGACCTTCAAGGGTCAATCCATCACTACCACCATCATTGTCATCGTCACAGCTAAAGTTTACTGAGTAATTACTACATGCAATTCTATGTACAGTGATTGTTTTCCATTCCTGCAAAGAGAGGACCGTTCTCATTTCCATTTACTAGATGAGAAACTGAACCACAGACAACCACTTTCACTTTAAAATCAGCGTATATTGAAACATTTTTTAACTATATCTCTAGGTGCCTTCTCCACACCACCCACAAAATAAACTGTACCCAGGGTGAGGCTTTTATAACACAAAACACAAATTTATGTCCCTAATTAAAATCCTCAAAGAGCTATCTGCATTGTGAATCGAATCAAGTCCAAGCTCTGGTTTAGTCTACTAAATCATAGACACAGAAAGTATAATGGTTCAAAGCTTGAACATGATAGAACGACCATGGTAAAATTCTACTGCCTATCTATATTACCTTGGGCGAGTTATTTAATTTCTCTGTGCTCTCTATGCTTTATTTCCTCGTTTTACAATGGTTATAACAATATTATCTGTCTAATAGGGTTATCTCACTTAATGCTCACAACACATGTCTGGCCCACAGTAAGAACTTATATATGTGAACCACGGTTGTTATTATTATTACAAGTCTCTCTGTGATTTGGAATTGATAACCAGTCACATCTCCAGTCACATCTGATCACATCCCTATGCAAACTCTATGCTCCAGCCACCCTATTTTTAGTTACCAAAGTACTGTTATGCTCAGGCTTTGCACATACCACTCTCTGACCCATTTTGCCAATCTACTCCTACTCATATTCCAACATGAGGCTTAGAGTTAGTTGTCACCTCCACAAATAACTTTTCTAGATCTTCTAAGTTTCTCCAGTATTGTACTCCCATCGGTCTTATGATGACCACCCCGTATCATAACTGCCTATTAACTTGCGTTTTCACTTCCATCAGACTCAGTTCTAAGTTCTACTTAGATTACTAAGTACCAAAAAGAGAACTATCTTTTATCATCAACTACAAAGCAAAAGCAAGATGCTTGGATCTTAGCAAATATTTTAAGACTTGAAGAAAGCTGAAGTGGCTCTATTAATGTCAGAGAAAGTAGATTTCAAAGTAAAGAACACTGTGAAGGATAAAGGTCATTTCATAATGACAAAAGAGTCATATCATCAATAGGACATAACAATCCTAAAGTTTATGTGCCTAGTAACAGTTTCAAAAGATATAAAGCAAAACTTGACAGAATGACAGGAGAAACAGAAAAACCCACAATTACAGTCAGAAATTTAAACACCACTGTTTCAAAAATTTATAGAACAAGTATAAAATCACTAAGCACATAGAAGATTTGAACAAACTATCAGCCAACTTGACCTGACAATGACAGAAGTTTCATCCAACATCAGCAAATACGCATTCTTCTCAAGTGCACACAGGACACTTACTAAGATAGATGACATTCGTGACATAACACAAGTCTCAATAAATTTAAAAGGATTCAGGTAACATAAAGTATGTACACTGAATACAATGGAATTAAATTAGAACTGATAACATAAAGATATGTGGAATATTGCCAACTATTGGACACTAAATACCACACTTGCAAATAGCCCTTGGATCAACAACAACAACAAAGAAAATTAGAGAGTATTTTTGAATGACAAAAAAGCCTCCAAAAACCCCAACATATGAGAACATGTGGCATGTTGGTAACGCAGAATTCCCTGGGGCAACGAAAGCACTGAACGCCTGTATTAGAAAACAAGAAAGGCCTCGAACGTCAACTCCTACCTTAAATAACTGTAAGAGAAAATGGAACAAAATGTAAATAGAAGAAAATGTCTAAAATATCATCGAGAGAATCAGGAAAAAGATTACTGCTTAGGTATTTCCCAGAGCACATTAGCTTCCTTGTCCATAGTAGGAATTTATTTATACCTTATTTTTCTCTATATTAATCCTGGTATATCTCTTTATTCTTTCAGGTTTGTCTATTTATGTAAACTGCCCTAACTTACAAGTTATTATTTTAACTTGAGACCCATATCTCAACCATTTAAAAATTACTACATTTTTAAAAATATCATAGGAACTGTCATTCAACAGAGGAACTGTCATTCTCCCGTGATAGATTAAAAAGCTGAGGCTAAGAGAGACGACATAACAATCAAAACCACAGCTACTAAGAGGCAGAGTGAGGAATCCAACACAGGTGAATCTAATTGTAAAACTGAAGGGCGCCTAGTATTATATATGCTGGGCCTCTCATACTGAAGAAATTCATCTTTAAAAAAAAAAAGAGTATACTTTGAATAGAAGTCTTTCAAGCAGAATGGAGAATTCAAAGCAAACTTAAATTTCATCCAAAATAAACATACCCAATTGTAATAGTAAGTATTTATCTTCTCTAAAAATATATTAGTAGGAAAAGAATATGCACTTTTATATATAACTGAGCCTTCATAAACTATTAAAACATTGTTATTAAAAATCAGTTCATAACTCATCAGAGATTATTCAATATAAATAAAATCTTCTGCACACAGAAGACAGCATTCCTATTCTTTATATCTGTGTTCATGGATACTGCCAAACTTTCTGACTTATTCATAGTGTTTGAATTAAATAGGGTACAGTCTTGCCAATTACATCTGAATGACACTTCAACACAACTGAAATAAAATATGATACTTGGCTATCCAAGAACAAAAACTAAAATTCCCTCCTCCTACACCATCTTCCTATATTTGGCAACAATACTCAACATTTTTTAAAAACACATTTTTGATGGACAAATTGTTAATAGACTGTGGAGAATGCATTAAGTGTAGGAGGGGGGGAGTGAAAAAAAAATGTGAGAGGAAAAGAGATCAACTGACCACCAGGTAATGACCCAGCCCAATGAATTCACCATGTTGCCCATCATTCTGCTAAAACCACATAACCAGTTTCAGAAATTAATACTATAATACTTATAATAGCCTTTCAATATTTTACATGAACATGTATATGTAAATGTACATGTAAATATTAACCATTCTTTTTCTTCTCCTCTTATCCCCTTACCATCTAACACAAAATATGTTAATAGCACCTTTGTATTCTATTCTGGGAAAAGGGTTGGAAAGCTTTTGGTAGTTCATCGAATAGTTATAACGTGTTAGAAGCATGACTTCATTCTTTTATTTGAAAATTAAATATAGTTTAAGGAGATGTACCAAGGTAACAAGGCATGGGTCATGGTCATTGTCAATCTGACTCATCTGTCATACATTTACCAGAATTGCCTTATCTGTGTTAGGATGAGGGCAGGCAACAAAAGAGATTCTTATAGGAGGCTTAGAGAATAGAAACGAAGCAGCAACACCGCATACACTGTCACTTTGCTGCAGTTCATCTCTTGCTATAAGGTAGCAGCTGCACCTGCACTGCTCTCCCTTTCCTTCCATCCTCATCCTACTTCAGCTTCTCCAACTTTCAGGCCAGCTGTGTGCATTTAGCTCCTGGCCTGGGCTACAGAATATCCACACCACCAAGGTCAGAGGCAGGAAGAACTGACATGTGTTTCTGTCTGTCCTTGGTAGTTCCAGCTCATGCTCGTGGATTCCAACTTGTTCTTCTCCTTTTTACATTCACTTTTCCCTCCAAAGTGCCTGCCCTCGGGACTTCGAGATCCCACATCAGATACAAACACAGCCTTCAAGAGACTGCTTAACCAGCTCCCACAACTTCTTAAGGTCAAATCCCTGTAAGAAACCCATGTCTGTGTATCTCTTGTAGTTCTGTTTCTGTAACAGAAAGGTGACTGATGCAGATTTAACCTTCTACAAATAGCAGTAACAAGCTCCTTTTGTTCAAGGGCTCTGCTTGTACAACATTTTTTCAAGAATATTCTAGGAATAATTATTTTTAATATCATTAGCCACTGTTCACAAACAATATATAACACTATTAAAATTCAGATGTTTCAAATGTCAACTGTATAATATGATGGTTGAAAATAAAGCAAAACCCCTCCTCTGTTTCAGTCTACTGTTCCTAATGACCAAATCCCATACTATTTTAGTCTATTCTGAATGCAGTCAATCATCTTCCTTCTCTGGTCCTATGTATGTTATTATAGAAAAGTCACTAAATCTTGCTAAAAGTTCCACTAGAAACCCATAGCTGAACTGGCTCTTCAACACAGAAACACCTGCTGTTTTCCACAGTGCCTACTGCCGAAGACCACCATCAACCTTGGGCACTTCTCCAACTCCCCTCTCACTCTCAGTAGATGGCCTCAAGAATTAAATGAGAAAAGATTTTCCTCATCCTCCTACCACACTAAACCTGCAAACCATCCAAACGCAGGGCTTGGACTCCCTCCCTCCCGCTATAATGGAGGGGCACATGTGCTCCTATCAAGCTAATGCTGCCATCCATGTGCTGAACCCTAACTCCTCTGTATATACTCTGGATAGGATTTGATACTGCACAGCCTGCTCCGATATACTACTCCTAACTTCTCCCTTTTTTCCTTCATTACTGCCCTTTCTTTCCCTGGCGAGGAACTCTTCCAAATCAGAATTTAAGTATTTGAGCATGTTAAATAATATTCAGTTAAACATTCCTTTGGAATACATATCACAGTCAAGAGCTAAACCTCTTAAATATATTTTTTCAAGGGAAGAGAAGTCAGGATTTTATTCAATAGTGACTCATAATTGGTAAAAACGTGGGAGATGTCAAATTATGACTGATGTTTATAAGACAACTATTATTGTGAACTGGTAGAGTAGTAAGTCTTTCTGAATAGCCAAATTTCCAAATAGCTAATGGATTACCATTGAAGTATAAAAACATTT